ACCAGCCATTCCCCTTCCGAAAGCTCCTGTACTAACCTTTTGATCTTTTAAAAAACTAATCTGACCAGAAAAACCTGTGTGTGCGCGCACGCATGCAAAGTGTGTGCAGGGCTAGGATTACAAGAGGAAGGAGCAGAGTGGCGTGGTGCTACGCTAAAGCTGAAAGAAAGAAGAGTTCTGTTAAGGACAATTCTGATTCTTGCAACATTTCAGGCTTTGCCACGAGTTAAAAAGCTCAAATCTGACGAGGACTGGTGGTTTTGAAATAGTCATAAATCAGTCCGATAATACAAAAATAAAAAGGAGAAGGGAAACAAGTAGAGCAAATCACTCAGTTTCTGTTCATTTGAAAGCATGACCACGCCGGCAGTTTATACAAGAGCGCTGACAAAGCCAAACTGAAACATAAGAATACCTAGCAATGTCAGCGTGTCATTTGAATCGTAGCCGCTTTTTTCACAAGTATTAGTTGCTAGATTTATATATAAAAAAAAAAAACGAGAGGCAAATGTTTATGGGTGGTTCTAAAGAGCAGCTCTGTGAACTTTGTACTCGGCAAAGCGACGAGGATATATGTGAGTTTCAGCCTGTGCATGCGTTTTCCATGGTAATTAACACGCGAGCCTGGGGGCACGTGTGATTTGTGATGCAAATAGTTAAAAAAGGCCTGGTCAAAACACAATGGGTTCTATCTGCTGGCAGAAAAACAAATTAGCCCTCGCAAACAAGGGCTGGGAAAATGTAAATAGCTTGCCACACAGCAAGTCTTCAGCTGCTGCCTCTGGGTCTCCAGTGTTATCGTCTGAATGGGAGAGTGATGCTCTCAGATTTGAGTTTTAATTTGAATTATGACCGAATATCAATGTTTTATACAACAATATCATCTTCACTTTATATGGTAACTATTTGTTATGATAATTGATCAGACATTGGTCTGGGAAAAATTCAGAAAATAGTTTGGAATGTGTTTTCTTCAAAGGAAGGAGGATCAGGGTATATGCAGGAATCCTGAAGTCAAGTTGAATTCCTTTGAAGACCTTTTTTAAGACCCTTTCCATACATTTTATGAGCTCATCGCCACTTCGAGTTCTAACCGGTTACCTTGGCGACACACTTTACCTCACTTTGACTATATACAGTATTCATTGTCCTTCCTCCTGATCTTCCAACCATTTGGACGCCGACTTGCATTTCCCCAAAACGATGTTGTTTATCAACCGGCGTAAACGGACCTTCGCGCGCTATCAAGCGGTGAGCGTGCGATGTCCTGTTCAGATGACGTCACATCCAACGGGATGCCATAAATAAACTACACAGAATCACACTACACACCTACGCAATGATTACATTCAGGCTCACTTTAGAATACAACCTCTTTGGTTGATATATTTGAATTTGAATTGATATACTTATTAAAAACAAGCTAGAAAATGTAATACCTTGAAAATGCCGTTTAATACTTTTTAATAGCCTTAACTTTCGCTAAATTGATTTATCAACTTTTAATACTTTTTAAGACCCCGCGGACACCCTGAGGATATTTGTTTGGTCCAAACCTCCAAAAATATTAAGATTCTTGTTTATAGCCTATAAAATGGTAAAGGGCAGCATTTATAAAGCGCTTTATCCAGTCTTGACGACCCCACTCATTCACCCATTCATACAGTCCCATTTGCTCAGGTTAACATTCACACACATTCACACACCGTTTGCCATGCCATCGGGAGCAACATGTTGACAGCAAGGGCTGGCATCGCACCCTCAACCTCCCGAACGAAAGACAACCGCACTCCCTCACAGTCAAAAATCTGTTTCACAGCCCAAGTTTTTCATTTAGAGTGATATAAAGAAACATGTGTGGTATTAGAACTATAAATTACAAAATGATTGATTTTTTCTTTGTTAAATGGAACTTCAAGTTTCTAAAATGAATTATAGACTTTTTGTTTCCCCATTATAAAAAATGGCCGTGGAGCTGTATGTCACTTTTAAATATTTATTTTCCCAAATATGATTGAAAATAAGTCCTACATGCACACAGAACGCGTGTCCTTGTGTAACTAGATGTGTTTAACGCTGAGTGGGGAGAGCCGGGGCTCTTTTTGTAAGCATAAAGCTGTTTAACTACAGATCAACATTCCAGCTCTGATCACTCTTATTCCCCCTTCTGTCTGCAAAACAAGCTGTGTGTGAGACTGCTAACAAAACGCCATTGAGAACTGTTCAGCCTTATGCAACTGACAGGAAAATGTCTCGCATTACTGACAGCAACTTGGAGAAGTTCTCCTCAAGTGCTGGAGATAGCGTGGAAGGTTCATCACATGACCTGACTGCTCACATACAATGAAAGAAATGTAGTTTCTTAAAAAAAATGGCAGCAGGTTGTGAAAGTAATGTAAGGCCAAATAAGAGCACAGGGAGGTGCCATTAAGGACACGTGAACGTACTAGCGACAACAGATGTTATTTATGGGTGTGTTAAAACATGCATTCTGACAGCCAAGACATAAGGAGTGGGGAGAGGTATAAACAGGAAGCTGAGTCAATCACATGTCTGCAGCTCAAAGAGAGAGAGAAGCAGAGCAAGTACTACTCAGGGAGAGAGGAAAGGGAGGATGAATAAAAAAGAAAACCAGTTTCACTTTCTATTCCCACCACAGCCTTGGTAAAAGCCACATTAAATACAAAATGCAGACCATGGCTACGTTTCAGCAAAGCTACATCAGCGTGTCACCTACCAGCTGAAACTCCCTACGACGATCATAGGCGTACTGTATACCCGAGTCGGCCCACAGAGCTTTGATGGCTGGCAAGTACCGCAAGAAGACGGACGTCTCCAGCTGACCGATGGCCATCTTGGCCGACCGGGTGTCGAATGCCATCACACTGTCTCCATGCTTCTGGTTGTCAGTGTCACCCCACGGGATGTGCAGCTTCTCGCGGGCGTCCACCAACACACGTATACCTGGAGAGGAAGTGAAGAGAGGCCCCTATGTTAGAATGTACCAGGCCACATGTGAATGAAACCTAAAGTGGAAGAGAGACTAGTAGGGCAGGTGAACAGAAATAACAGGTGTCTTAAAAACGTGTCTTGTCTGACGAGAGTAATTTAGCAGAATGTAAAAAAAAAAAGGGGAAACAGAATTATTTATGCAGATTTCCCAGTATTTGAAACTGTGACAGTAATAATAATTAATCCATTAAACATGCAAAGGATTTTTATATAAACATTACATTTGTATTCAAAACAAAAATACTTAAGATTTGTTTTACTAATATTTCAGTATTCAATTGAAATGATTGGAGGAAGTTGTCGTCTTTGCACAATTATTTTTAGTTACTATCAAAAATGTTTTAAAAAAAGATCTAATGATTGTTTTTACGAGATTAGTACCAAACTAATATGTGTTCTAAGTTAAGAATACCTATTGAAGGCTGGCACGTCTCTGTAGCACAATAATAATACAAATACAAACAATATTTTGACATTTTCTGCCTTAAACATTGCATTGTGTTTAATAGAATGTTGATACATTGTTAAGTCCTAGTTAAGGCAATACTTCATTTTGCAAAGGGTGAAACGTTTTTTAACCTAACGTTTTATAACATTGTTTTTAAAACAGTCAGGGCGGTATTTACTTATAGAACTGCATTTTAGGTCGTTTTGTTTACACTGAATTCATTAGCATTGCAAGTTGTCCCTGTTATTTAGAATACTCCCTGTACATACATAAGAGTGGAAAAACAGGAACACCTTACAGCACATTGGTGGGTTCTACCCTCCATTAGCTACATCCATGTTAGTTGTTGAGCAACAAAACTTGCCGATGGCTATTTGAAACTGTTGGCGAGTATAAGCTATGATAAACACAATTAACTGTGTTGTAGCTACACGGCTATACACTCCTTCAAAAACCGTGATATTTATTCAGAAAAATGGATCATGGGTGTGCCGACAGCAGATGTAGACTGTTTATGTCCTCTCACCAAGCGCTGCTAAACAGATGTGGAAACTTTCCCATCCATTTTAACCGCCTTTAGTTGCAGAAACACGGCTTATCTCGCCACCTGATGCACCTTTGGTTAGCAGTGAGGTTACCTTTGATAACATTGCTGTAAATTGTGGCTCTGAACTCCTCCTGGGCTTGATGGTCGAAGTCCTGGCCGTGGATGATCCGCATTTGTTTGAGGAAAGTCGACTTGCCGCTCTCGCCAGCGCCGAGCAGCAGGATCTTCACCAGCCGCTTCACGTACGTTTTCTCCCGGGAGAGACATCTATCGATCTCCTTGGACTTTCGAAGCTGATCAACCTCGCCCCCGTTCAGCAGGCAGACGGGTAGACAAACTTTTAACACGGACCTGGTCGGCAGGAAATCCGCCATGTTCGCACAAACTTCATCGATGCTAATTTGATGCGCGTTCGCGGGGCGCAGGCACGGGACCAAGCCCCTTCCCTAAACTCAGGAAGTAGTACTGCTGACAGTTTACCACCAATCTTAAATCTCTTTATGCAGTGCTATGTGTGTTCTTTACTCACACAAATAAGACATTTTATTTAAAGAACGTGTTGGCCCGCACAAATATAACTACATGAGGTTAAAGTAGGAATAAGTCATTTAAAGTAGGTCTATGAATAACTAGCTTTAGCGGATTTAACGACACTATCACAGAGTTTATCATTAAAACGCTCTACTATATAGACATGTGAAACTCAACTTAGACGCTGTGTATGGTGTTTGAGTGAGTTTAAGTGTTCGGATAATCAAAAATACACGAGTTTACTTTGTAAAACGCTAGATTTGTAAAACACTGGTGGTGCCATGTCGTCATCTGCTGGTGAATATTGGTAATTGCACACCTAATAGAAAAGCAGTGCTCTGATTGGTTGATTCCCCTCGCTTTGGTATGCTGCCTTTAAAGACTGTTGGAAATATGAGAGGTAGTGCTTGAACGCACGTCAAGTGGTCAAAAAATAGAAAATACATACTGGAAATCCCTCGATTTTCTATCAGTAGTGAGTGTGTAGAGTCTTTGGCGCATTCATGAGGTGACTGCCACCGAATAAATGTCATATAAGGAACAGAAACTTATCTCAACTTCCACTTTATTGCGAAAAAAACCATTTATAATTCTCAACCTTCTGAGCAGGTGCTTTTGGGGAACACTTGAAGGCAGCATCAGTCTCTGTCATTTCACTTCCCCTCTCCAGCATCCCCACACGACACAGGTCGCACAAACGACAGTAGCATTGTATATGTTTGTGGAGGAGTGACCATCTGACACCATGACCATTAGAAACACTCTCCAGGACCATGGCCAGAGATACCGACCACGTATGGCTTCTCTCAAGAAGGTAGGCTATCCATTTTACTTCAAAGATGATGAACACAGCCCTGTTCAGTCTTGTAGAATATACCTGCAAATGCACCTATACATAGGTCCCCCAAATTAATTCTTCAACGTAATATTTGGGATGCAGTATGTATCCTCATTAACCCTGACTGTATTGGCATTTTCTTTTATAAACTGCGTTAGACTAGAAAACTATCTGTATTCTCCACAGGTCCTTACAGGAATCTTACAGGTGCCATTCGGCATGCTTCGAGAAAATGTAACAAACATCAAATATGCCATGTTTTTATTATGCATGTACATCTGAATTGTCATAATCCAATTGTTCAGATTAAGTGGGAAAAACATGTAAAAATAACTAAGCATTAAAAAGTGCATGCAGCAGAATGACAAGACATCAAAATAAACAAATGTCATCTAGGTTTCAGCGGTGTATCACACACACTAAATGTTACACTGTGTTTTGTTGCAACCTTTTCACAGTGATAAGGTCACTCATTTTAATAAGCATTAAGCCTGGATAAGTGTCAGTGCTTTATCTACACCAACCACCCGCTGGAGAGGAGTTAATCCATGAATTGGACAACAACAGTGTGGCCAGAGCCTGGATCCATTCATCATCTCACATTGTATCCACGTTAGAAGCTGCATATTAAGCACAGTAACTTCACTTTTTGGTATTCGGAAAAGAGTCTAGGAAATAATTAAGACAAAAGCTCTTTCACTAGAATATGATCTTAGTCTATTGATCCCAGATGCAGCACTCACAATGTCCTGCTCTCCAGGGGAATGCTAACTAATTTCAGCGAGAACTTTGTGCTTTTAGTCCATGAAAGCCCACTTTGGTCCGGCTCAGGCTGCGGCTTATAGCCTCTCCAGGATGACTTCAAAGCACTGAGCCACTTCAAACAGGCCCGGGAGTCAGCCTCCTACGCTGACACACACACAGACACACTCTCATACAAATTACATTAATGTACTGCATGATTTCTTGCTTTCCAGCTCTCATGAGAGCGGTGGGAGCTTTGGGATCAGATGATATGATAACTTAAACAAATTGTTTAGAGGGCAGTGACTCATCGCAAACCTCCCACACACGGCAAACAAAAGCCATTCGATCAGGGCATAAACAAGCCTCTCATCTCACTGCTCCTCTTGTTTAATTGCAGCGTAAAAGGTTCTGACTAAATTGTAATGTCGTTTTTGTAATAGCAAGGTTGAGTGATAAGAGGCATTAGTTACAAGCAAGCTTTAGTATCTCAGGGAGGACAATTTGCCACTCAGTTTTAAATGACTGAGAGGCAATTAGATCCCATTTTTCTGAATCTTTTATTGAACTGAAAACAGGTTAACAGGGTTGATGATTATGAAGATGATAATCATTATCGCCTTCATTTTGTCCTAGACCGGTGCCAAAGGGACGGACATTTACATTTCCTACGTCTGCCCTGTACAGATTCAGATGTGAAAACAATTCACATGTTCAATATTAGAAGTAGGCTATTGTTTTAATGTTGCATTTCTTTCTTTTGTTTCCCGGTTTGAACAGCCTGAGTTTTGATGATTACTAATTAATGATGATTTTATAACAATCATGTAAGTGCGCGGCTGTAGGGACTTGGCTTCGTAACCATGGGTCGCCACTTCAAGTCGCAAGCAGAACAAATACATCTGGAGTGTGGTCTGATAGCTGGAGAGGGGCCAGTTTACCTCCTGGGCACTGCCGAGGTGCCCTTAAGCAAGGCACCGGAATCCCGATTGCTCTGTATTAGGCATTTGAGCAACTATACCAGTATTCCAAAGCAGGTGTGTATTCGCCTTGTACTGTTTATGTCATCCAAAAATAAAAAAAGAGTGGAAAACGGAATTTCCCCTATCAATATAGGTGCATCTTCAAAACATGTAAACATCCGCTAACTTAAACACATAAACAATGTGAGCATTTTGTTTAACAAAAAAAACAGTAAGTGGTTGTCAGTAACAGCGTCAACATTTCCCACCATCGATCATGTTGATAAATAGAATGCTCCCATAAAAACGCTATATATTGTATATCAATACACTATCAAAGGGCCGAAACTGATCGTGTTAAAAGGCCGGAAACACGTCCAACCTGCTTTTTTACCCACAAATTCCAGCATTTACTGTACTATTTTTCTCCTCATAACAGCTGCCCCCACAACCTGTTGTCAAAGCAACCTGTTGGCATGGTGACCCCTTCCCCCTCAACTCACAATCAGTTGTCGTAGTAACATCCTCTCACCCCTATAATGATAAAATCATATTAATTTGCAGTCGGAGAAGGTGCTGCTGGAGATGCAAGACCCCAAAACAGGGCTGAAGTCCCAGCCCCAGAGACTGGT